TTACGTCGCGTCTGCCAGACCGTCACCAATCAGAAGTTTAATTAAACAGGAAACTCCGCGGTAGCGACTGCGGGCGATACATCACGCGGGTTCGCGCGTAAGAGGGCGGATATAGCGGGCGAGGAACGAGCGAGCCGTACTGTTACACGGTGGCCCGTTGTAATCCGTGCTTCTACGTGACTCGCGGGGCCATAATTTCAAACCTGGTTCGCGTGCACGTCCCGATTCATTTAGGAAGGATGCCTGTTAATCCGCAACGTAGGGTATACACCGCGTGTTCGGGAGCCACGGCGCGAAATAATCGGCCGACAGGGGGTGGTAAGTGTAATTTTTCCGTTTTTTTTTTTTGATCGATGTTCAAGCAACACCGGAAGGGGCACGGAGGAGATCGTTATCCGAGGACCGTTACGACGATTGCCCCGGGGGTGGCATCCCCGATGAATCGTTTTCGACACCGAGAGGGGTGGCGATGATATTCGTACGAGATTACTCATGGTATCTCTGAGGAAATTAATTGTAGTCGCTCCTAGCGTCGAGCGTGTAATCTTGCACCCCCAGTTTTATTCGCGTTCGGATGCTCCTGAAACGATTGTGGACGATCGGTTTGTGATTCGATTGCTGTGCCCATTATTAGATATCTGAAGGAGCCTTTGCGTACCGTCTACCATTTTTTCTATGATTGATCCAGTTCTGAGTCATCTTCAAGGGTAGAGTGATCTTTCTATTGCTTTTTTTGCTGAACGTTCTACGATGATTCCTTCGATTTTTAGAAACAATTAAATTTAGAAAGACGATTTTTGCTTCAAAGTTGAATAACTCGGCCAACGAAAATCCCACAAATCGACGACCACCCACTTTACACAGAAAAGTAATCGCTTTCGACTTGCATAAATGTAATTTATCTAGAAAATTTCATTCACCCCATGTAATATTGCACGGTAGAACATAATTTCAAACACATTTCCAAGTGCTCTGTATAAAGCTACAACTTTGCTAACAAGCAACGCAGCGAAAATCTTGAAAAAGGTTATGAAAGCAGAGATTCTACACTTTTAAATCAGTTCTTAACGATATCGATATGACCATTTTCACCGGAGTTATGATCATTTGAACTTTGTCCCATTTTTCAGGCTCGTAAAGGTTATCCCTTAATTCTTTTGCGGAGTATATAATCAGATTTACCTTATACTTTATGTGTGTGGAATTTAAATGCATTTCGGGAAACAATGTGATTCTAGTGTAGTATAAATAAATATATTTCCCTAATTGTAAGTAGAGAATGACTAATTGCTTAAAAATACGGTCGCTAACTCTAGGGTTGTTCCACAATGTTCTGCGCTCTTCGACGATCAAATCCACTCCGCCACCCTTCCATTCGGCAACCTCCCAGGTCACCCATTTCTCTGTCTTTCTCTCTCTCTCTCTCTCTCTCTCTCTCTCTCTCTCCCTCGTACCCTTGCAACTAACAGTGAAATATATTCCTAAAAGAAAGCAAGCGTCACGTTTCTGCAGGACATCACTGTGCAGAACGTGTAGGCGCCTGGAGATCATCGGTTCTAAAGTTGGCCCTACCATAAATGAACGAATTCTAAACTAAAAACTACTTAGAATAGGTCTGATCTGTACGTTTCCTGCACTCCCATATATGATTCTTAATCAAACATTTATCTTATTCTTTTCGTAGAGATACTATTTTTGAATAGACCATCTACTTAAAGAGCAATGTAAAATATTATAACTAAATAGGTCAGGTCGTCACTGAAGGAGTTGCATATAAGTGAGTGAAATCATATATTTAATGCGCAGTAACCTGAAAGTTGGCAATGAAAGATATACGCGCGGGTGAAATTGTCCCTTTAGGTGCATAAAAACTTGGGTCCATCAAATGTTAAATGTGCAGCGGCCTGGTGGATCTTAAACCTTTGCGAGTGATGTGGTTAATCAGGACAGTTAATTAGATGCACTTTTTGCTGGTGGCTCGACGAAGAAAGAGGCAGCCGTGAGCGAAGTAACGTAATTGAGGGAAACGGGAACAAAAATGAAGGGAGGGTTAATGTGTACACAACGGACGGTCCAGGTACGAGCTGCTCTTACTGCTGCTCGCCTAGCTGACGTTCATTGTTCATTTTTAAGCGACACCCTGTAGACGTACTGCAACGAGGCGACGTTCTAAAGAATACTTCGGAGTCTGCTCTTAATTAACAACCTAGAAATTATTTACTGTCAGTCATTAATATTCTTATTTAGTTCAGATTATATCTAGAATGACATGTAACTTCCGTACGACATGGTAATGATACAACCAAGTTAAATAATTTAAACGAACAACTCTAGAGTACTATTCTCTACTATTAGTTAACCAGATTTCAGACTTGATTCGTTTATGATACGCCAGCAAAGATTAATAAAGCTTTCATATCACTTTCGATCTAACGAATTTCCTAATTGGCGAAAGAAATTTTTATACAAAATTCTACTGACCCACTGTTCCCAATTTCGCTGTCAATATACGAACAGAAATATAGTACCCTTTAACATTTGCATAAGATAAGCCGGAGGTAATTGACAAGGGAAGCGTCTCGAGGACACTGCAAGAGTGTATCATTAATTTTCGACGAAACGTATAACCCTGTCCGCGGGTAGGGGGGAGAAGTAATCAATTTGCAATCATAGCTGGACCGCGTAGGAAGTCGGCCATGACCCGATACAAACCGTGATGCTGAGTCTAATTAAACCTGAGATAGGCACCAGCTAGTCCGTTCCGATATAACAGGGAGCGGAGACGTTGGCGGAGGGATCATTAATTTGTTACCCGCGTTCACGGGAATGGGAAAACCACTCTCCTCTCGGCTTTGGGGAAAAAAATGTTCGTGGTTAATTAAATCTATCGTTCGTTCGCGACCGGTAAGTTTTTCGTACCTTTTCCTTTGGTCGTTACGTATATGGCTCAACTTTGAATATTAGGGAACGGTACCCTTTTCGCGGTCACGAAAATCGAAAAAAATATGGACGTTAATAACGTTCCCGATATCGGGCCGATTTTAATTACCGCGGAATATGTTTGCCACCGTCCGCCGCGAAATCGATTATCCGGCTGGGGGAGGAGGGGGGCAACATTTTAATTAATCAACGCGGAGGTTGATACGTCGATGCAGCTGCGTTTCGGGCTGGTTGTTTCCTCGGCTCGTCTTATCGAGCCACCGAGATAATAGACAGTAGCTTTGGCTTAGCGTGTACAGGCTAAGTCGATAACTATCGGGTTGGCCGGAAACTTTCCGTGGGCTCTTTCGTCCATATTTTACCGGCAAAATGGGAAATTTGTATGCAAAGGACATTAGCAAGCCATCAGGATGAAGAAATATGGTAGTACAAGATAATAGACATTTGTTTTCTGGTACAGCAATTTTATCTCCTGGATTAAATTTATTTTTTACTCGCGACGAATTATCTTCCGCTGGACCAAGTATATAGTGATATTCTGATGTATCTTGTATATCTTTCACGTGTTATTGAACTTAAATATATCCGTGATGAAATTACGGTCGTGTGAACTCCTTTTTGTCAATCTATCGGGCATGTATGAATACATATAGAGATGCAAGATTAAACATACAAGTTTCAATCGTCCCAAAAAATGATGTTCAAGTGTTCTAACTTTGATATTTTCATATTATATTAGAGATCAATGTACTAATGAAGAATGTTAAGTTATAGAATCTGATAGCGTACAACAGCATCGATTTTTTTAAGTAAAATGTTCCTATCCTAGTCAGACAAGAAAGTACATAGTTTAGAAGATGGAAGTGGAAGGGTCCTCGTCTCCTCGTACGCCTGTTTCTCCATTCTTTCTTCGCGTAAAGGAATAACCTTGCGAATTTTCAGACAGTCTATCCATAAAAGGTTTCGATGTTCCGATCAATCACCCCGTCTGACTGATATTGGACGAGCCGCGGCAGGCGCGAACATCAATCTTTGATTATCCATCCCTCGGTGCCTCTGTAATCTTGCTTCTCGTCAATTCTCTTCATCTGCGTCACGCACAGAACACGCGTGTCAATTTCACGTAGAAATATTCATCGTTAAACGTAACCGCTTCAGCTGCGACTGCTCTCGCTGGTATCAATTGATTTCTCTAGCAACAGTCGAATGTAAAATTTTCCGTAATCACAGGTATCTGTTTTTTTTATAGAAACGTTCCCATTATTCGGCAGTATATTTTATTACTACTAATGGGCCTACACTCGTCGGATTCTACATGAACGTTTTTCCGCTCGTTATTATACACAATGGTTTCAAAGCTTAACGAACATGAAAGTTGTGGAGGATTTGGTAGTCTCTTTTTTCATTGTTTCCCGCATGCATTATTCTATTCAATTGAAGGTTTTTGTGTAATTAACGTGAATGCAGGGTAGGATTGGAATAACGAGTATTTCAATCATCCAAGAGAGGACTGTGTGGCAGGAATCAATTTATTACTGCATGATTAACAAATGTAGGTTTTGTTCAATTTGCACAACTTAAATTGGAATCTCAATTTTCCATCTACATTTTAATGCTTTAGTACACTATTTAGTAGATGCAGACAGGAATACAATACCGAATCTACTATGCGGAAACGATAAGACTTAGAAGACTTATCTCTCGTTCAACCTATCAATCTAATGAACGACAGTGCTATGTTATCACCTTCAGATAAGAATATTCCCAACATTTCAATATTTCGTCGAATAGAATACAATATAAATTTGTTATATATCCGTTTGATCATTCGGCGATACATCATCAAAATGATAAATAATCGATTATTCAAGTGTTTAAGCTAAAATCCTTGGATTACGTATTCTAATAACATAACACATGACATTAATAACTTCCTCCGATAAACTGTTGCAACTTTGCGCACAAAATGCAACAATACCCATCGTCGAGTTACAAAGCGCAAATGTAATAATCCTCAACGATCATTACAAGTTAGTTTAATGATCACCATACACAACATCTTAACGATGCGCACCGTGATTATGATCTTGTCCATGGTGATGATAATGGTGGCCACTGGCGAAGCTAGGATAATGTTTACCGTAACTGCCACTGCTCTGAGAGTATGCGTAATGATAATCTGGCCCGTGGTCATCAACACCTTCGTTATGGTCCTGACTAAGACTCTGTTCACTGTTCTGCTTATAATCGTCACTGTAACCACCATGGCCAGTGTCTTCATTAAAACTATCGTCACCATCTTTTCCGCTATCCCCATAATGGAACTCAAATCCGTCATCGTAATGGTAACCACCGTGTTTCCAGCCATCGTGATTGACTCCATGATCACTGACGCCTTTTCCATCGTTATCCTGATCGTGTTCGAATCGAACACGATGATACCCGTGATAACCATCGTCCCCGTCTTTACCGTTGTTAGAGTGTCGATGCTGACTACGATAGCCGTGGCTGTGACGATAACCGTGTTTATAGTCATGATTGTAATCATCGGAACCACTACTTTTGCCTTTGTCAGCTTGGCCAGGTCCACTTCCATGATTCCCGTAGTTGGAATCGTAATAATAATCATAATCATGCTTTTCTTGGCTCAGGTTTGGTCCCAAAGTGTTGAATTTGGATCTAATGTCCCCTCCTAAAAATGATTTCACTTGGGTGTAATGGGTCCACCTTTTTTTTTCATCAAATCATATAATTTCTATAGCACTATTAGAAGCCATGTATGGTGACTTTGATGTAGAGATAAATGCTTAAAGTACAATATTCCTTCTCTATAGCCACATCACTTAGGGCTAACATCCCCTTCTCCCTCGCCTTTATCTAGCAATACCTATTATCGGATATCTATATCACACGATGATGAAGGAGTGATCATAATAAGGATTAACAAAGTACGATTACATAAAAGACTATACACTTCTAAACTTAATCATTGGACAAAGAACGTATTAATATTACCTTCACCGTCTTTATAATTCCCCCGATGGTAACCATCTCCCGCTCGTTGCTTCTTGACGCCGTACGCGCTCGGAAATCCCGCATTAACTTTGTAATCTCCGTTATCGTTACCGTCCTTATCCTTCCAAACTGTTCTCCTTATTTTACCGGCCAGACCAGTCGGTCCGTGTGTAAACGCGGCGTTCACCACCGCATGAACCGACACGGTCAACAGAATCCAACGTAACACCTGGAATAATCGCAAAAGAACGACGTGCAATTACGTAACGGACGTTAGGTAATCCGGAGTAAAATCTAGTAACGTGTACGACGGAATTTTAGCGAACACATCTCAAACTTCTGTGGGGACATAGGTCTGGAAAATCTTACATTTTATACCACAAAGTACAGCAAATCGTCGATGATTGTTCCAAGGTTCCTCGGCACTGACAGGCAGAGGTCCCCAGGTGTAACGCTGGCTTTTTAATGAGGTGTACCACAGTGATAGAGCTTGGAATCATGAAGCCAATGATATTTGTTTCAGTTGCATATGGCCATTAGTTTATAAACTATTTATTGTTCAGTGCTGAGGATCTTTCGAACACTCATCGAGGATTTACTGCAGTACCTCGGACCCCATTTTTATTCGTGGAAGTCATACACCAGTTAACGCGCCTGCTCCCCTAACGACGTGACTGACGGTCTCAAGTACATTTGTACGAGCTTTTATAGGAAAATATTCGTGGTGTAAATTACGTGATGATTTCTTCTACGAAAATCAGCCACGATGTTATTCAATCGCGATTCGTATCGGCTCGGTCAGTTAACCGACCGAGATAATTCATGATCCTTTCAAAGAACCTATTGTGGGCAAGATCTGTAGCAACATGGTTTAACGAATCCGACGATTTTTGCGTGTACAGCTAATTCCCATTGCTCCAGCTGTTTATTTGATCAGATCGCGTTTTTCTCGATCGATCTGCTCCCGTAACACCAAACTTCCTAAATCTTTTTCGTCGTGGAAGAACAGCGGCGAGACAGTACCTACTAGTTCTTATGGGTAAAGTTACTTTTGTTCGATAGTGGAATAAAAGATTGTTCTATGACTAAGTAGCTATACGTGGAATTGGTAGCAGTGATTCGATGATGGAGGGATTTCTATTGAAATACGAATTATGTATTGACTTTTATTCAAGAAAGAAGAGTAATTAGAACGAAATTCGGTGAAAAATGTTTTCATTCGCTCGGTTCATTTTCCATTAATTAAACGCCATTTCCAAAGGGAATTTCCGCGTTCATTGATTAGAAATACAGTCCCACATGTTCTAGAGTTTCGATTAAACACAACCGGTAACTACCTCAACTGTTTCATTCGGTTTAATTAAACATACACCGACTCGATACTTTATTCAATCGTTGATGAAAGAGCCCGCTAGTCAACGATGCCTTTGTAGAAATCACATTTTTAATCCACTAGAAAGCTCGATGAAGCTTGCGGCTTTCACTTGTAAAATAACACCGTTGGACCTGTGCGCCGGCAATCAACCACGAGAGTCGGGTGTACGGTTCTAAAGAGATTACTCGATCCTTTTGACGCTGTCTGTATCCACTTTAATGCGTTATATTATTCAAAATCACAGCTATTATTTCATCGAAGCAAATATTGTAAAAGTGAATTTGTTAAGAAAGCTAATCCTTAGCTTTTCTTTCATTACCTTATCTTCAAACATTGCAAGTACCAATCGAATCATATAAATTGTATAATTGAGCATCTTGTGAGTCTTTTAAATTATATTAGAACGGCATGGTAAATTGCTTAACGAGATAAACAATTCAAGTGAATGTCAACGAGTCACAAAAGTGATACGTACACTAGGTATAAGGAAGGAAACATCGATTCTCGAAGACGTTTCTTCGACAACCGGAAGTAGAAGTAGGGTGTACCCCTATCCTCCCTCCTCGAAGGAAACAAATTATCTGTAATCGATGATCAATCAGTCTGGGCGCAGTTGAAACTTTCGGATTCGACGATTGGTGGAAGCAGTGCCGTCGTTAGGAAATTATAGCCGGATCCCGTATCTGTACCAGCGGTACTTAGAAAGTAATTACACCGAGGGAACGGCAACAAAAAGGTTGCCTACATTCGCCACCGCCGTCACTTTTGAATTTATGTCAGCGACGTCGGTACACGCCGGCCATGAAGCATTATCATAAATCGAGCGGATAGCATACAGGGGACGCGCCACGTTTATTGCTTTCTTATTCGCATCGGATGGTGAAATTTATGGGTTCGTTAGATTTTTTGGCCTGGCACGCGAGGCTATTCCGACTTTATCGCTCCGCTCCCTTCTTCCTTCCGTGCGAGCGTACATCCTAATTGTTCGGTGAACCTGGATTACGTTCGTCTAAAAATTTGTAAACCTGATCTCGCTAATATTCCCAATTTTCGAGGTTTTTCCGCCATCTTGGACTCAGAAAAGTGCCGGAAAAATTTGGGAATTTATGGGACATTTAGTGGCGCCCCCACCACTTTGGTGACGAAAATTGGAACTTATTCCAGAACTTCTTCCAAAACTTAAAAGTTTTGGAATTAATTATTTTGTTATTATTTAGTATTTCTTATTACTTTTTTGGTTAATTGATATTAGGAATAGGAGTGAAGATAGTCCGGGATTAATGAATAACGAATATGTATGGTTTGACTGTTTTTTATTGAAAAATCGTAAGAAAATATACAATTTACAATGGTATTTGTATAAATTTAATAACAATTGCTTTAAATACAACCTATACATAATACTACTTAATATAAAAGCACCATTTTCGCGTGGCCGGCACAAGATCAGGTTGCTTCTATCTGTTTTGAATAAAAAGAAACATAAATGATTATTAATCTATTCGAGTGATACGCTAGTTTAGATTCAAATGTGCGAGAAGGGTCAAGGAATCCCAATACGCAAATATGTCGTTACGTTTCCTGCCTCGCGTCGCCTTCACGTAAACATAGAAGTCTCTGAATGGACGCAAGGTCTGTAATGGACTAAATGTCTCTAATTGTTGCTACCCAACGCAGGTAGGCGATAGTCCCAGAGATGGTCGCGTCTTGGGTCGTGAATAGGGTCAGCAAACCATTATAAACGGGGTTTCCAAGACAGCTGCACATCACGTGCCAAAACTGCAGGTATTCCCTCCTAGGGAACGGTGATCAAGGTGCAGCAATGAAATTGTTTGCAAACCCAAAATGAAAATATCCCTGTGGACGGTGGTTCTCCGGATAACCTTTCAAGATCTCGTGGAAATTATAGCGGCGTTCGTTACTCCTTTGTGTCTGTCGGGCTGAATAGTAACGTCTCGAGAAAACTTTTCGTACGACGGGGGGCGCTGGTGTGGCCTTTACACCGCAGAACAATGAGCCGGTCGCGAAATTCCCGTTTTCAAAGGGTCCGGCTGCACCGTCCGTGGTAAAAGCGTCCACGGAAAATTTATTTCCGGCCGGTCGACTAGGTCCACCTATTTCAAGTCAGGCAAAAAAAAAAGGGTCTCCGTCTTGATTCGTTCGTCTACTTAACAATTTCCGCAGACGGAATAATCCACTGTAATTATCTGTCGCGGCAAAACTGGCATCCCAGGAGCTTTGGATCCTCGTCAACCACGCAGGATTACTAATTCGTCACGATGATGTATTGTGATGCTGTAATTAGAAGTTGTCGCCTCATGAATTATAACTGGGGGAGTGGTGCGCCCGCGTGTGCGGCAATTCTTGGCTTACCGAGCAATCCGCACACTCTTGTACATTCCTGAGAAGAGCCCGACACAATTGGGCTATTACGGCCATTCATTATACCGGTAATTGTATTCAGCTTAATTTCGCGTTACGTTTTCGGTACCGGAAACAATAGCGTTCCGCGCACGTGTTCGCTGCATTGTCATTAACGGCGAGAAACGCGAGCCGCAGGATCGTTTACCTGTGTATATACGTACGCCAGGCAGTGCATTATCAGGTTAGATCCAGAGACACATGATTCTCGATGAGTGAGTAATTTCTCGAACATTCGTCCAATGAGTGCGCTTCGTTAACTGGATACAGTAAATCATCAATAAGTGCTCGGAGGCTTCTTGGAACTGAGAGTTCAGAATGTCATGCCCACTACTGGGCGCTTGATTGTTCCCACGGGAGACACCCCAGTGGTAGGGATGACATCTGAACCTCTAGTACCGAAGAGCCTTCCAACACTCATCGATGATTTACTGTACAGGTGCAAAGAGGATCCCATTAAATCTTTTCCAATCTCGATGCTTCGAAATCGAATAAACAACGGCCCATTGAAGCGTAACAAAACATTCGCGTTTCCAGGCGCGGAAACGCGTACGCGACGAGGGAGATTCGTGCGTCTCGTAATTGACAAACGGAACGACGTACCCCTTTTACGGCCGAACGAAACCTTGACTCGGTCTCCGTGCTCGGCTATCACGGCTTTTACGATCGATGCTGATGCGCCTGACACAAAGGGATGAATTCCCGGGGTGAACACCGCGGTGAACGTCCTCGGGATTAAAGGTCTCACGTAGCTACCACGCAGCTAGAACGCCGCTGTACGCCCACACACGGCTCCCAGCGATCTATAAATCACGATTGTATCGCGTGAACGAGGCTAGGGAGCTGACGTAGGTGTCAACGGCGGGGGAGTACGTAATCATATTCGTCACGAACAGTCGTCTTGGTGCGTAGATTTACGAGGCAACCGGCGGGTGGAGGTTTACGATCCCTCCCAGGGCTGGTCGACCTGCGATCGTAACCTCAAGCTGCGCGGCCCTACGGAACCGCGGGGGCAACGCGCGCGTTTCGCTTCCGGCGCTTTCATCGATTAGCCGGGATCCGAGGCTCGTAAAGAGCCGGACCTAATTACCGTTCGTACGCGATTTACACGGTTAATCGCGAGCCGGTACGCGAACCAGGGTTACACGAGCTTCGCCAGCCGTGTGGTCCCGCGAGGATTGTTAAAAAGAATTACGTTCGTCTGGACGACCTGCACCGAGAGACGTCCCGAAGATGGACGATCGATACACCGGCTCGGGACGAAAAGGGGGAAAATGTTTTATCTGCTACGATCTAACGATGGTTCGTTAAAAAGTTGTTACGACGGTATTACCTAGCCAGTGATAAGGTTTATTGATGATTTTTTACGATCCCAAGCAACGGGCGTGGTAGAATTGCTTCGATGAATATCTATGACCTGTTCTACGTCCGTAGTACTTGTTGGTCCCTATTGTTTTACGTTCTAGTTCCTAGAGATAAAAGTTAGAGAGTGATTTGACTGCCCATTTTTCCCCGTAAAGTGTAACATTCCTGGGTATTAATGTCAAAATGATGAATTATTATCAAGACATCATTTTCTGCGATGGTAAAGAAAATTTTTGAATCTTTCTGTTTTCAGGACACCTAGCAGGTAGATGCAAGAAGAATAAGGCAACTATGTTCGTAACGACAATAGGAAGGAGAGGATACCGCGGTTGGAAACTGTTATCAGCCTCTGAATCCAGTATTTAACGATGCTCTAATTGTTTCATGGTACCTGGGCTTGTGAACGGTGGCCAACTAGAGCAACTCGGCACGTTTCGTGGAGACACTTTTGATCTTGT